AGGGAAGATAGAATCTCTGCTCAGCAGTTCCAAGTTTGTTCAGCCATTTGTCTGTTTCTCTATTCCACTTACCTGGGAATTTTCCTAGTTTCTTACTAACCTGCCTCAATAGAATTACTGTATCGGGTGACACATGTAAAGTGCTTGACTATTTTTATCCAGAAAAAGGTTATTTGAAAGAAAAGATCCACAGCTGATTAACTGTATATGTTAATTTTATCCCGATAAAGTTTTTTTCCTGATAAAGTTTTTTAAAACACATCTTCATGCAGCAGTTCTGATAAAAACCGTTTTACTTCATTTTAATGTCCACTGTTGGTATTAGAAGAAAAAAGACATTTTTAGGAATATATTTGACTGACAAAGCTTGTTTTATTTACGTTTAGGCAACCCACTGGATGTCACATATACAGACTTCAAACCATTAGTTTGCAGTTTCATCGCAGGTCCACCCAAAATGCATCTTACATCACTATAACCCGGTTGAAGAAACAGAAACACAAGAGCGATCCTGGAGCTTGAAGACCTGATGTTCTGAACGCTCTGCTCACGACTCTGGTCCAAAGGTCACTTTTTAAAATTGAACTTATTGGGTGACATTGGTTAATAAAATTATACAGGTTACAGGTATACTACACTACAGTATGTCATCTGTAGTGTATTGTTCACCGCGCCAAGCCGAGTCCCCTGGCGGTCACAGTCTCTAACGCTCCCGGTTCCGGGGCGAGGTCGTTAGGCCCACTTCTTGGTGACATTGAGGTGGCTGAGCTGGTCGACGAGCCGCCGGTGCGGCGGGAACTTGGCCTCCTTGGCCGCCTTGATGGCCTGGAAGGCGGCCGCCCTGCGGGCCGCGGCGTGCCCGTACTCTTGCGCGGCGCTAAGAAAGGGAGCGCTCAGCCAGTAGTGGTTCTCCGCCTCCGTCTCCAGGCGGCGGATGGTGTTCTGCTTCGCCTGGAAGGACACGGAGCGCGGCCGCCGATGCTTTCCGATCCACTGCCGGCCAGGGATGCGATTGCGGCGCAGGACCGCGGTCAGGAACATGGTGCCTGTCGCGAAAAGAGACCGGAAACGGGTTGGCCACGCGCCCGGCGCCAGGGCCACCAGCGCCTCCGGGGAAGTGCTCGCCCACCCAGGGTCCCCCGAGTGGCCACGAAAGGCAGGGCACTCACCAGTCCACCGCCTCGGGAGCCCGCGTCCTTTCGCACGCCGACTGACGCACCTCCCGTAGTGCGTTGGCTCCGCCCGGCGTGGCCTCCTCCGCGGGAGATGGCTCCCGCGAGACTTCGGCTCCCGCGAGAGGTGACTAGTGCGCCGGCCACGGGACCAACGAAACTTCCGGCGCCGGGGATTCAAGCGAGTGGCGGGGCCCGCGGCGCTGTGTGCTCACCATGGACCCGATCCGGAGCTTCTGTGCGAAGCTGCGGTCCCTGGCGGTCACCTTGGACAGCGAAACGGCGCGGCTGCAGCGGGCGCTGGAGAAGGAAGACAGCGGTGAGAGGGGCGGGTGGGTGGCGTCGAAACGAGCACACTCCTCGGGTGGACCGATAATCCGCCGTGGGAGGGGGCCGCTGGGTACGCATGCGGACGGCGCGGAGCGTGCAGCCCCGGGAGGTCACTGGGGCCGCCCTCCCTGATTCGCTCCTAAGCCCCCGGGGGTGGTATGACCCCCGCGCCCTCCGGAGAAGAAAAGCAGCGCGTTGCTGTGTAGCCTGGAGAAACACGTAGTGCGAGTCAAACGTAAGTTGACACATTGAGCTCAGCCTGCGCACCTGAGTTACACTTGGTGTGCTTGCTAATCGTACAGAATCTGTACTTATCACTAGCGCACAATTGGAACAAAATTAGCTCCCTTTACAGTGCAGCTGTTCAGCACTGCCCTCCGCATGTATAGTGATGATGGTCCACAGTTGCAGTAAACGTCTATTTTTCCCAGCAAACCGTGTGGCCAACACAAACACCAGGACTCAGTACTGCTCTTTTTTATTTTTGGAAGTAAAGTAAAATTCTTCACCACTGACCTTTGTATTAGGGATTTTTTAAAATTGAAGGAGTAGTTCAGACTTAATAAATGCCATAATTTTAATGTGCCTTAAAATATTGCATCCTGTAGAGTCCTTTTACTTCAATGATTTTGTTAAAGGTTATCCAGCCATTTAAATATGTTTATTCTTGTGACTGTAAAAACTACCTGTATGTGTGCATCGCAAAATTTTGAGATATGGAAAAATAGAAAAAATAAATATATCCTGTAACTGCACCATCAGAGGACACCACTCAATGTTTTAGTAGCTTTTCTATCGTTCTTATTTTTCGAATTCCTTTATTTTTCTTGGATTTTGTTTATGTAGTTGAAATAATGCTATAAGACAGGAAAGTATACTAGCATGTTAAAATTATTTTTTAAAGTTATTGATTGATTTTAGAGAGAGGAAGGGAGAGAGAGAAACATGATTTGTTGTTCCACTAATTTATGCATTCATTGGTTGATTCTTGTATATGCCCTGACTGTATTGCACCACTATCTTGGCATATGGGGAGGACGCTCTAACCAACCAATTTACCCGGCCTGGGCCAGCTGTGTTTTAAAATTCTTGATGTTGCAAGGCAGGTGTGGTTCAGTGGTTGAGCTTCAAACTATGAACCAAGAGATCACTGTTGGATTCCAGGTCAGGGCACATGCTCAGATTGCAGGCTGGATCCCCAGTGAGGGGCGTGGGGGCTGGAGCCAATCAATGTTCTGGGGGGGGGGGGGGGAGGAAGGTAGCTGATCAGTGATTCTCATCATTGATGTTTCTATCTCTCCCTCTCCTTTCCTCTCTGAAATCAATAAAAATAGTTTTTAAAAGTTATTTAAAAGTATATACATATATTTTAAAAGTTCTTGATATGTAGCTGAATTTCCTTCCACAAAGCTTTTGTAAATTTACATTCTTACCAACATATTACCTGTGTACACAAATTCTGCCTTTTCTTTTGGTTTTACAAGAAAAAGTTGGAATAATTTTTTTAATCCAGGCCCATATATATTACAGAAAATATAAGAATAGTGAACATTAGAGAAAATGGTCACAAAAAGTTTTACCTTTTATCCCAATGATGTCATTCAATTGGTTGACTTTTAAACATTTTTATTGAGCTCTAATTAAAATACCACAAAATTGGGCATTTAAAGGATACAATTCAGTGTCCTTTTAGTATATTCACAGTTGTACAACTGTCATCACAATAAATTTAGGTTTTCATCATCCCCAAAAGGAACCCATGTGATTGTTAGCAGCTCACAGTCCCACCTCCATCTACCACACTAGTCTTATGCAAACACTAATCTACCTTCTTTCTTTATAGATATGCCTATTCTGGACATCCTATCTAACAATAGACAAACATGGTAATTAACCATAACTTCGCTACCCTTCCCATTGGCTAATCAGGGCGATATGCAAATTAACTGCCAACCAAGGTGGCTGGCAGCCAGGCAGCTGAAGCACACAGGAGGCTTGCTTGCTCCAGTGATGGAGGAAGCCAAGGTTCCCCG